TTAAGGTAAAAACTTAGTAAATTGAACAATAGATGTGTCATTTACATTTGAAATTCCACCATGCTTCGGTTTGGTAGAACCTTGGCTAGTGTAGATCCAACTTTGTTTGGTTTATGTACCTTCATTAGTGAAAGCCTTACGGCCAGAAGCCGGTGAAAATCACAATGTGTACTTATTTTCATTAATTTTTAAATTTATGTTACAGACTATAATTAACACCAATTATGTTATTAAACTCCTAGGAGATGAATTCAGCGTAAATGAATATTTCAGAACGGGTACTAAAAATACTGGTATTCTTTTAATTTATTTTAATATTGAAAAAGAAAATATTTATTTAATAGAAAATTAAATATTTTTTCTATCGCTATTTTTTTAGATATAATCAAACATACAACGTTTTAACTATGCTTACGTAATATCTTTAATATACTTGGATATTACTATTTCTCAGTTTTATAAGAGTATATTATAACAAGAGTNCAGTTTTATAAGAGTATATTATAACAAGAATTTCTTAAGTAGCTAACTTCTGTGTTGACTTTTTAGAAAAATATAAATGCTGACAGATTACTTGTAAGTCATTAGTCCATGTAGGTTGTCCTCTAGCGATTGATTCGCACATAGCCTCAAAACTTGTTGCAACATTTCTGTGAACTGATCAATAAAAATACTAACAGTAATTAAAAACAGAAATCAGTGACAATAGGCGAGGACGTGATTGGAGAGTTGGAAAGTTTTAAGTATATAGGATCAGTTGTTCCAAAGAGCGGTGGTATTGACGAGGATGTAAGACACGGGTTTTAATAATGCGATAAAATAATTCCAATGAGACTGAAAGGTAAATTCTACAAGACTGCAGTGATATCAGCTATGGTGTATGGTTCAAAGAGTTGGGCGGTTGATAAGAAAGTAGAGCAGAGAATGAGTGTAACAGAGATGAGAATGCTTAGATGGATGAGTTGAGTGACTAGAGAAGATAGAATAAGGAACGAGCATATAAAAGGAAGTATAGATGTAGCGTCAATCGTGGATAAGATGAGAGAAAATAGACTTCGATGGTTTGGTCATTTTATGAGGAGAAAAGTATCGGAAGCTGTAAGAACAGTTATAGAAAAAATATTGAAAGAAAATAAGGCAGAGGAAAACCAAAAAAAAAAAAAAAATGGTGGAATACTATTAAATGCGATATGAGGACAGCTGATGTGAGCGTAGATGATGTAGGTGATTATGTTAAGTGGAAGTTTAGGATAAAGGTGGCCGACCCAAGTAGTTGGGATTAAGGTGGGGAAAAAGAAGGAGAATTTTTTTAAAAAGAGTTCATAGAAATGGTGCAACAAATTTAGAGGGTACATGAGAATCAATCCCGAGTCGATGGGGTACAAGAACTAATTTTATAATTAGAATCCCGATATAATTTTAATCTCAGCAAAAATTTGATTTTAAATTGATGCATAGTACTTAAAAGAAGCCTGATAATTTTTTAAACATTAATATAGAAGTTAAGTTGACTTACTTAAGAAAGTCTTGCTAAAACATACTTTTGTAGCTAGTAATAATCATGCCCAAGTCCACTATTATGTACAAAAAGTCTACAATTTTGTAAATTCACTAAAACCAATGAATTTCCCCAATTATAATAATAAAAATAATATATATTATTTTTATTTTACGTAGATACAGTCAAAATGTTAGCTACAAGTTTTGTTATTGAAACATGCATTTATATATATGTAAAAGCAATGGGGAAATGGTTATACTTACCAATAGAATTTCATAAAGAAAATTTTTCTAAAATACATGAAGAAAAATGTATTTATTTATATGATGAAGGAACACATTTTTTTATAGTTGAAGATGTAGCTGATTAATGGAGAACTGTTGATATTGCTTTACAACTTCTAATGAGAATGCTTTAGAAATATATACAATGTGAATCGTTTATCATAAACAACTTATTTACTTTTAAAATACAAATAATGTTGATTATAAATATTTGAATTTTTTTTTGTTACATAATTTCTTAATTTATTAATTTTTAACTAGTTTTAAGGATTATTCCTTTTATAAGTTATATCATTCAAGGATGTCAACTAGCTTACTCAATGAAATTTAAATAATTAAGAAAACGGCAAAATTACAAAAATTTGTTAATGAGTTTCCACACCATGCCGACGATATATAAGTGTTCTAACAACTATTAACTTTTTATCCAGTCAATATTTGGAGTTACTTTTTTTTTAACTGTTATACATTGTGACTTCAAAAATTTTATAATAAATAATACATTTTTTAATTATTATTTGAAATGATTTTTTTTTAATTTAAAAAAATTTCCTGACAACTATTCTTAATGTAGATTTTAAAATAAAAAACCTAACGTCACAAATTTGAAGGTGGACCGTTTATGATTTTTTGTTATGTCTACTTATTTATTTTATCGCGCGAAAGAACCTTTTTCTGACACAGCGGTGTCAACTACTCATTATTTTGCCTCTGACCGCTAGATAAGGCGATAAAAGAGAAATATAATTAAAATCGAATTGTTTATCAGTATTGATTACTTCCAAAAAGACTGGCCGTTATCGATATGAAATTGCCGTTAGATCGGTGTTGACTCTTCTCGACTNGTTATCGATATGAAATTGCCGTTAGATCGGTGTTGACTCTTCTCGACTCTTTCTTCTGTCATTGACCGTGCTAGGGTGCACACATTTGTTGTTTTATTGACATATTTTTCAATGATGGAGTAGAACCGCCAACGGCGAACGGCCAGATATTTTCGGCAAAGTATCCAGACCATCGGATGGGTCTCTTCGGAGACCGGGTATCGTTTTCTTTTTTATATTATATTTATGTAATGAGCTATATTTTATTAATTATTTTATTGTAAATTAACTTAATTTTGTTTATGTGTGGAGAGCATGTGTTTCCCTTTTCTTGTAGCCAACGCTAAGGAGCGAGTGTCCAGACCGCTCCTGGTGTTCTTCATTAATTTCCGATTAATATTAACGGTTGTGTTCCAATACCGTCCGACATGGTTTTTGATGCATTCGCATTTTTGTCCATGTTTAACTTAATTTTCTTTTTTTTTTAACAATTAAATTAAATTTCCTTATTAATTTCAACTGTAATATTTATTTTATTGCGCGAGTAACTTAATTACTCGCGTGTATTTCATTCCTATTCCTTAATCTAGACACGGGCTACGGTATGTTTTACATATCAACCACATACAACTTTGATTGTCATAATTGTGTTCTATAAACCACGAGGCATTATAGTAATTTATACATATAACGACATATTAACTTAGATTATACTTTTAATTAACTTAAAATTAAATTCCACCTATGGTCCGGTAATCATATCTGATAGGTGTGACACCTCGCCTAGGTGGTGGCGACCCTTGCTACTCTAGCTAGTCGTTATGCAAGTGGCAAACCA